TACTCATCCAGACAAAAACTGAATTAGTGAAACTTGATCGCCATGTGATTGACACATCATCCTCTTTAACGACCAATCCATGTCTTGCCTTGAAATGTAAAAATAATAAATGTACTACACAAGTCTCCCAGATTATTACTTTTCCTATGATTTCTGTACTGAAATTCAAGCAAAAAACTGGTGGAATCATACGGTTTTGGAACTAAATACACAGATGCCATATATAATTATTACTGTTTTCAATTTAAGTTAAGATTGATTTTACAGTGGTCGAATATCACAAATTATGTTTTGTTTGGACAAGCTGCAGTTGATAAATCAAGAAAAAAATAATAATAAACACATGTAATACTGAATGATTTATTTTAGGATTTTCAGTCCTCAAGTTACTGCAGTGGTCTTACACATCAAATAGACTTATAATCACATTTTGCAGTTGGTTGGTATTTCTTATCAGAGTTGGTTAGCCAATTTTGCTCACCATAATTTAAATTGTTTACCATAGACAACCCAAACACATCCGCACCAACAGTTGAGTATTGCATGTTATTAAGATGTTTATTCTCAAACATACTTTACTTTTCTGAGGTTTAGTGTTAGCATGCTCGAACCATTCATTTTCAGCCTTTCAATCTTCAATCTTTAATATTGTTATTCGACCAGTGGGATTACGATTTTCTTCCGCCGGTTTGAGCAGTTTCGTACTCCCTCGAGTCGTTAATGAGCTCATTTCAAAGATTTGTCAACGAATATACAGTATTTTTTTAAGTAAAGATACTCACTTTACTATTTTTGTACATCACGTCTGTCTTGGTGACAATAAAGTGATGAAAGTAGAAGGTTTGTAACTCCTACGAAAGCAGGAAACCTTGGCAACCAATTGTTTGTTGTCAGTAGAAGTCCATCCGTGACAGAGCAATCCTGATGTTTGTTGCTTGTTTACTCCAGTAATTAAAGTATCGGTGATCGATTTTTGAAAGGGTACGCGACGTAAACTTAAGAATCATTAATACGTTCGTGAGAAGGTATTTCTGTTAAAGATGTTAACATTATTGACAAATATGAAGAATGAAATACTCCCTACATAAGTAAATTAAAGTAGGTATGTATTAGAGCGAAGAAACAACGAACACGCGAACTAATCGTCCCTTGTCCTGAATTGCACCTGTTCTGGAAGCTTGTCAGGCCTGGAAGCTTGTCGAGATATAAGCAAGGTACGAGTTTTACCCAGTAACCGGAAGTAAATACTTGATAACACAACAAGTGGGGGCCTAAGTGAGAATCACGCTATTTCAGCGTGTCAGGTCCCGTCTTTTTATACAATTTATTACTATTTGGTTAAATCCGTGTTAGTTTTTCGTCAATTTGTCAATGTTTTCGAGTCTTGCTTAGTGTGCTTGTTGTCGCCAAACTAGTAACTAGTAAATATGGGACAAGGAATGAACAAGGTGAGTAAGGTCAAGTTCGAAACAACAACTTAGAAGTTCAACGTCATTCACGTTAATCTAGTTAGTGTTTTGTGACTTGTCATTGCATTCCACGACTAAATCACAACTGAGGAAGTTCTAGACAGCTGTACGGCTGGTCAACAAATGCTCATCATTAAATTGCATTCCTATTTAAGATTGCAATTTAATTGGTATTTATCTTTAATAGGATCGTAAATCGCAAATCCCGGTTTAGCGGTGATCAATCATTGTTGTAATCACAGGTGCTGTTCTGTTTGTTTGCGCATCAATAATTAATACTATTTATCTCTATCCGGAGACTGAGTTGAGTGTTAATTAATTAATAAAGATTGATTAATTGAATATAACAAAAAAAAATTATATCAAAATATGTGGTTAGAATATTAACCATGTTGTATAAATATGAACAAATTATTTGTCAATACAAAAGTCATTTGTATCCATTAAAAAATAATAATTACTATACTAGTCTTTTTTGCAAGAAAAATGAAAAAAAAGTTAAATTAGCATGTGAATGTTTCATGTATAAATATATCACCATGGTAGCCATGCAAAACAAATGTGTCAGCTCCCTAGATTTTGCAAGTCATGCTTGTCTGGATTAGATTTTCAAACATTTGATTTTCACTGTTTTTTGCATCTGATAATTTATTTCATACTAATTATGTGGCAAATGGTAGAATTTGATGATTTAGCACAATTTTTTAATCAAATTATTTCAAAAACCTTCAACACTATATTCTTGTACGAAGAGGTATGAAGTACAGATTAAGGTATGTTTTAAGACAGAATACAGTGAAAATAAAAAGTTGGAAAATCTACTCCATACTAGCATGACTTGAGAAAGCTAGGGAGTGAAAACCTTTGTTTTGCATGGTTGCTATGGTAGTAAATTTATGCACCCATGTGCACAGGTGTTTTTTCTCTCAAATGATTGGACAACTATTATTGGCACAAGCCAACATATGTACTTTATTCAATATTAGATTCAAGATGTTAATGCCTGGTACATAACTGTTGACTATAAGACCCCTTTATTTTTGGAGCAAATACCAAGATATAATTCTATTCTATTCTATTCTATTCTATTCTATTCTATTCTATTCTATTCTATTCTATTCTATTCTATTCTATTCTATTCTATTCTATTCTATTCTATTCTATTCTATTCTATTCTATTCTATTCTATTCTAGAGGGATTATGAATCATCAAGGGCTAGGGGGGGTGGGGGGGCTAAATTTTGCACTTAACATGAGCACTGTGTGTTACCTGGTGTGTACCTGGTAGTGTATATGGTAACATGTTGAGACAGGTCTGATTGTGCATGAAGTTGCAACATTGTCACTAGATTCATTAGCAGATAATTGATTATCAAATAGATTATCTAAAACTAAATTTTGATGGAATACTCTGATAAAAGTATCTATTAGATCTAATACAAACTATTAGATGTATTATTTGCCTAATATTGTTATTCTCTGATATACACTGTCCACTTGGAATATGGCTCTAATAATATGGTCTATTAGATCTAATATAAAGCATTAGATCAAATTTTATCGGATATTATCAGAGAATAACTCCCCTAAGTAACTTTATATATTTAATATCAATGACTTTGTAATTCCATCTAGTAAATGTGGTTTCAATTAAATTTATTATAATTTTTTATCTGATATTATCAGAGAATAACAACCATCTAAATGTGTAACTATAATCTTTATATAGTTTTTTTTCCCACAAGTCTCAAAAATTAATGATTTTTTTCTCAAACATTTCAAAATATTTCGGTAACCTAAACTATATGTACCTGTATACCGATATATATACCAAATGTATAAAATAAATGAAATTAGAAAGCAAACATCTGTATTAAAGTCAATTTAGTATTTTATTTTCTAATTTTCAGATTTTGCCTGGCCTCTACGTTGGAAATTTCCGAGGTAATTCACATTTACTGTCGTTATTGCGCATATGTGCTTTATACTGACCCCACTGGGCTATACTAGGAACAATTAATATGAATGCTGGTTTACTTTCTATACCAGTTCGATTGCTTTGATATTTGTAATGTACATTATTTTTGTGAACAATTTGTTTGATGAAGTTAAGTTGACATGTTCTCAACAGCCAGAAAAAAACTATTTTTTTTTTTAGTTAACCACATTTTGTCTTATCGCTTTGCGTTGCTCAACTTGGCTACCACAATGTTCTCGTAGGACAGTGGAACTATTTCGAACGCCAGGTTGCTTATACTGTAATTCCAGTTTAATAGTAACTAGTATTTCTTGTGAGAAATCTACTAATTTTTCTGTACCCTGTAGATTTGCTTTGATTAAAATATTTATCTTTTCCACTCTTTAGACTGTAAGGACAAAGAACAACTAGAGGCCAATAAAATAACACATATCGTCTCAATTCATGACAATGCAAAGCCTTTAATTGATGTGAGTATATCAATATTGAAAAAATATTAAACAAACTTTTTAACTTATATTAAAGTGAGGGAGTTGTCACTTAGGCATGCGTCAGGTGGCCATAGCGTGTCATTGTTTACAAACAAGCATCTACCCATTATGCTTTGTTTTCTTAGCGTGTGTTGTTATCATCACTTGGGGCTCAATTCACACGTGTGCGCAGAAGACGACCCTCTCGCTTTAACAGGTCTTGAACTTTAGAATTTAGATGGCAGACATTTTCATGAAAAAATCTAATAAAATTGCATTAGCATTTAAAAATAGTACATGGTTTAAAAAATCTGTATCTTTTAAGACATCACGAAAAACTTGTGGGCACCTAGGCAATTATCTTCCTTTCTTTCCACCCCCCTGAAGTTTAAACCCTGTAATGATAGTTGGATCGCTGATTGACACCATGCATGATTGATACAAATAAAAGCGAAAGAAGTCCTAAGCGACGATAACAACTTATACTAAAAATGCATGGACTCATTGGTAGACACTTGTTTGTAAACAGCGACATGTTATAGCCATCTTCCGTAAACACAGGGGACAACTCCCTCGCTTTAAGAGCGAGTATCTTTGGCGTTGTTGTGCCCAGTTCGATACTGAATAATGATTTACATAACTTACCATGTATGTATTCATAAATTTGTTCTTTTGTTTTACAGCATATCAAGTACCTATGTGTGCCTGCCGCGGATTCACCGCATCAGAACTTGTAAGTGCAGTTGATCAGTGCATCAACAGAAGTGTCTTAAACGGCGTACCAAAAACATCCTGATTCGACCAGATTACAAAATTTGCATCACAGTTCAAATAAATTTTGAAAATTAAAACTTGGAATTTGGTTTGAGATTAATTTATTCTATTCTAAGTACCAAACCATGCATGTGTCAGTTCAGAGTAAGCACCTGGTTTTCGACAAAAAACAATATATCGATATTTCACTTAATGAGTCATTGAAAATGATTTTTATTCAGGTTCTGATTTAATAAACTTTGCCAAAAGTCAATTGTTTTCAGATCAAATTATGATCCCTCACCAATGCCCATTCAAGTTTTATCCTGAAAAAAAGTAAAAAAAATTTCATTTCTGCTTAATTTAGATCACAATATTTCCGCCAGTGCATTGAATTCATTCATGAAGCTAGATTGGGTGGAGGAGCAGTTTTAGTTCATTGGTAAGTTGTTATTACTGTAAAATAATTTATTTTAGCTGCAATTAATTTTCGCTGAAATGACTCTTTGGATGATATGTATGGAATTTTTTTTCACTGATTTTTGTCAAGTTGAATTTAAAATGCAGTTTTATTCACTGGATTTTATTTTCACTGAATCATTCCTTTAGCGAAAATTAATTCCAAGCAAAAAATAAAGTAATTTACAGTAGTGAACTGATTGGACATGAATAAGATATGTCTTTGTTTAATATCATCATTCAAACAATACTAGTGTCCTTCAATCGCATTTCTGACAATAGGTGATTTTTCGTTCACTCTAAGATTTTGCATAATGTATGAACAACAACAACAAAACTTCTGCTGTATAAATCAAACGATTTGATTTTGAATTTGTGTTTCTCTCTTTTATAGTTCAATGTTAAAATGCCTATTTTTCAGAGAGGATTAGGTCATCGATATACCGGGTCAGAAACTGTTGTCTCTCTAATGCAATTTACTTAATTAATCAAAATTTGATATTAGGAAGCAAATCGGAGGATTTGTTTAGTGAACAAATACTTTTCAAGTTGTCCTGTTCTTTTCATTTCTAAATTTATACATATTATAAAGATTTCATAGAATTTGTTTTCACTGTGACAAACCGAACATGGAACATGTAATAGTTCATACTAAGGCTATTTGTGCTGAGCATTTTCTGAAGCAGGATTTGAAACAGCATTGTATGTCCGAGTTGTTGGTATTCCAGATAAAAAATAAATCAATTTGGTTCTGACACACATAACTCTGAACTTAGTAACTGCTGACTCATTGCTCATTTTTCATTTTCTGTTAAAGATTTCAAATAACAGATAAGACAGTTTTAATATGTTATTATTACCTTATAAATATGCATGAGATCATTTGATTTGGACAAAATAAATCAGTATTGAAAAACAAGAATAAGCGACATGCTTTTAAAAAACGTCCTGTGCAATTAACGCTGTTTATTTGCATGATTGAATGTTTAATAAAAACATTGTTTTCAATAGTTGAAATAGACAACGTAATAGTGAAATTGGCCATCAGGTTATATTTTAGACAAACATTGGTACGGCATATGCTCTACCATTGCTAATCTAAGCTTTCAGAGATTAATTGTTATAGTAGCATGCCATGTTACTTTCAAAGGATGTCTGAATCACAGAACAATTTTTAATTCAATTTCCCCCTACCTAATTAGATATTTTTTACACAGCTAAAAAAACACATGCTAGTAACATGGTTGATACAAAGAATAGCCAATCTTCACACAAACTATAAACTTATTAGGGATATTCATTCACCTTGTTTTACATTTCTACAATGACACTTGCAGCTAATCGAAAACAGTTGTAAAAAATTCTCTATTTTGCTAACACGTACATACCTGTTATGTGCACCCAGTCATATATCCTTATATGATATAGTAATGGAGCGTCTTCATGCTGTAATTAAAAATACCCTCACATTTCAGCATTTTGTAATCTCGGGTACTTTTTGAAGATCTAAAAATTATGTATAAACTCATCATTAGAATGGGGTGTATCTCCAAATGATCTGCGTACGTCTCGTAAAAGTCAGTTGAGTGTTACGTTAGAGAGATCCTGACTGGAGTCTTAACTGCCCGATACTGCTACTGTTTTGCTGTGGTTCATCAGCAAGCTCCAAATGCATGATGCAAAAAACCGAAAACTTTCATATATTAATAATTCCCAGCTTGTTATGATATATATATATATATAACTCATTTAAAACAAAAACTCTGGACAGTGTAAATAATCATTTAAGCATTAGAAACTTTGGTCTTTACAACTGAAACATGACAGCATTTCTTGTTTCAGTCAGGATGACTGCAAGTTTTGAATTAATTTCACTAACTATACCCTCGGATCATTTCTGTCACCCGACAAATTACTCAGGTATGAACACTGAATCAGTGTTTTTCTTCTAATGAGGATTGAGGTAAGCTGGCATGTTTATTACAAATTTGTCATGGTTGATAATTCTACACAAACTTATATTTAATAGACTGTACTGTGACACCTAGACAAAATTCTACATCAGATTAAACTACCGGTACTAACTGGAGAATTAATTGAATTAATGCTATGAAATTGATGTTTAACATCATTTTATTTTTCAAAAATTGCTATTTTCAATACTTCTATAATTTGATGATACTAATTTTGTAGCATCCTTGAAAACAAAAAAATATTACTGGGTAACTGTATTTTATCTATTAGTGGCGTATGTGCTTGCGTAAAATTCTGAGGTGTTTCTATAGTTGAAACACAGCAAGCTAGTGTTTCTTTGCTGTCCAAATACTTACATGTTTGCTTGCCATTCTGTTTCATTAATCAGGCCAGACCATCCAGCAGACTGTTCATAGATAATTAACTTAACTGATACTGCTAAATATAATTGGGTTTGAGGAATAGAGTGTATCTTCTTTAATTGTCAAATTTATTAAGTAAAAGTAGGATTATGTATTGGTTCCAAGATATGTATTGGAAATCTTACTAACTGAGTAAACTATTATGTCTAGTTTCTCAGGCTACAGTTTGTTTGAGCAGATTAGGATAAATCATATTTACTGTTGAACAAATTCCTGCGTTTTTGCCTTCAACATTTTTCAGACATGTCTGAACCGATTTCATTACTTGACATTGACATCACTCACTCATGGTGGATTGTTGGTGCAAATAATTTAGTTTATTTTGTGATCTGATTCAAAATGGCCGACTGCTGCGTTCTAACTGTTGTTCAAATACATTTGGACAAACCAATTCTCAGGCATGCATTGGCTGATTTTATTCAAACTTGGCATGGACATCTCATTTAGGTTGCTAATGCACTCTAGTTTGTTTTGTGATTTGATAGAAAATGGCCATGTTGGTTTTAATTTTATGTGTCCCTAGTTCTCAGACATACCAATTTTACCATGTTAACAAGCTGAATACTCTCCCAACATTTAAATATTACCTATATCTCGCATTGTTTATAATTAACACTGTAGTCACTAAATACTTAGGGTTCAATGTTATTGAGAATGATTTGTTTGTTACAGAATACCGGTAGTTACAAACTACCTGGTATATTCAATTCAATTACAATTTTTTTAAAAATGCTCAAAACTCCTTGGAAGGACTTTCCATAATTACATAATATAGTGAAACACACACCCACTACAAAAGTCACAACAGTACAGTAACAGTCAATTATAGCATAGTGGGATGTTGTATGCCAGGCTGATGGTCAAGGGGTCCCGAGTTTAGATCTGGGTGTGAAACACATCTGAACTCAGAGTACCCCAATGGGCTGCAAAAACTGCTGAGTTTCATGTCACTAGTGAATGTGGCTTTGGATTAATCTTGTTTTAGGTCTGCAGGACCTTGTGTTTGACTGGGTAGATTGACACTGTGATATACATTAAAATGTCATTATAATTGGAAGATGGTAAACACTTCTCTGTCATGTTATATCAAACATGGAATATGGTTTCTGAGGAGAAATATACCATCAGCAATAGTACTAGAAATGTCGGGAGAGAAAACAGTGACATTCAATGTCTGAGACTGTAATCATGGAGACAAAAATGTCATAAATTTTTGGCTATGTATATTATCCTCTTTGAAACTTACATCATATGATTGATGAGGAAGTGAAGAGGAAGAGCATATCGAAAACAATTTTTAATGAATAGACATTCTGTAGTCATTCCGCAAAACACCATGACAACATGATGTTTATGTAAAACAACTTGGATTCTGAGAAAACAAAAAAGGTAGATATTAACTAGAGGCAATAATATTAACAAAATTCATTGCTTTTTAGGCTGATATACATGTATCTATCGAACATCATCCATTTCGTTGCTCACCTCAACCTAAGCTTGTGATGTCATCCTCGGATGTGAGGTTTTGCCAGCAATAGTCTAACTTTTATTTGTCATCAATAGTTTGAACCAAGAAGTGATTCGTTCAAAGGCAGTATTTTACATCTACATCATTCTATTTAATTTGATTTGATCCAGTGTGGCAATATTGGTGGTTTTTCGAACTTTGCCTTAAGAACCCTGTTCTTTTAAAGCGAGAGGGTCGTCACCTGCGCACGCACAGGAATTGAGTCCCAAGCGATGATAACAACACACGCTAAAAACCCAAAGGCTCATGATGGGTAGACGCTTGTTCGTATACAATGACACGCTACCACCATCTGACGCATGCGCAGGTGACGACTCTCCCTCGCTTTAAAGTATTATATGCTTTACTTGGTTGAAGTCTTTTAACGTGTGTTGTAAATTGCATCATGAACTGAATCATTAGTTATACCGTTCACGAGTTATGCGTGTTGGAGTTTGTCGCTCAACAATTAATTTATTTACAAATAAATCCCATCATTCAACACTGTTATGAATCCAGTGCCCGAACATTTTCAACACAACTAACCTTGGTCGTATGAAGTGATTGAAATTCACTTGGTCACAGTGGTTACAAATATTATATAAATTCTAGAAAGAAGGAGGAAAACGTGTTTATCACGAACAAGTTTAATCCAAGTGAACATTTAATCAACAATAAAATGCATTGTTTCCCTTCCGAATTTGTGAACTTAAA